ATAAGTAAATGCAGTAAAAATTTTGAAAATACAACTCATAGTTTTCGGGTAAATTGAACGAAAAAACGAATTTTCGAACCTAATCTCTATTCAGTGGACTTATCACATTAAAAAATGAATACATTTTTTATCTCTACAATTTTATTTTAATTAACTCATTTATAATTTTATAATTAACTTATCTAAATGAATAAATGAAAATAAATAAAAAAAAAAAAATTATAATTATACAGTCGGAAGGTAATTATTTGGTAATTTCGAAATAAATCAATGAGTGCGTTTAATTGAGTCCCGCTCTCTCTCTCTCTCTCTCTCTCTGTTATTGCGCATACTATATGGAATAACGTCCCAGTAGAATTTGCTCTGTGGCCTCTGACTGCTCGTGTGGCCGCCCTCATCAATCGCGATAATTATTGTGTCAGTAAATACTCGCCGACCGTACGTCAAATACGAGTTCATTTGTACCGACGCATTCGAATAGCGTGTATAGAATTGTCCTCTATATACATTTATATACACTCGGGCCAATATAATTAAATGAACAACCGCAACGTTATTTCGTCGATTTCTCTCGTATATATATATATATATAAATTACGGATTTTACTTCCAACAACTCATTCTATTTTCAACACATCATAATTAAATTATATTACATTCCCCCCCCCTCCTTATATATATAATCATTAGTTATACATTAATAATTAGAGGATAAAATAAATATGACTTTGTATTGAGTTATTATATATCTACACGGTGTTGAATATTAAAATCTATATTTTCGCATTTAATTTAATTATAAGATTTCTAATTTAAAAATCTGCACTTTTCGAAATTTTTTAAAAATTTCATTGAGCGGTGTAGAATTTTGGGCCTAATGGGGTACTAACTAGTTTTCCCTATTTCTAATGTGGCACTTACTAGAGTATACAGACTATTTCCCTACGAGGCTGTTATCCTACTTAGGGAAAAACTCATCTGCACCTTGTCAGTTTTTCTATAAATCGCCCTATTTTAATTATTTTAAATCACGGTTTTTATATTTTTTTTCTACTTATAAACTTGTATTCTATTTTAAATTATGAAATTAGTATGTATAAAACACGAGAATAATTTTAAAAATATCGCAAGCATGGGGGATCGAACCCAGGGCCCTTGGGACTCGAGCCGTGTACTCTAACCGCGCAGCCATGTTAATTCATCACGTAATTTTATCTAACTTTTTGAATATTCGGAACTACTTTCTGTTTGTGATAACAAAATACACGAAAAAAAATATTCAAATAATCGGTTACTTGACTATTATCAAATAAATATTTACTTGAACCAAATAAATATTTACTTGAGCCAAATAATTATTTACTTAATCCAAATAATTTATGAAACTAAATAATTTTAAATAATTAATTTTGATTTCAAAATAAGTCAATAAATTTATCAGAGAAAAATTCGTGGAATATAAAAAAGAGAGGGGGGGGGAGAAATATTAGCAGAAAAGTTAATAATTATAAGAATGATATTCGCTTGCGGGGATTGACAAAAGGGTCGAAGAGGCCAGGATAAGCCGTCCGGATTGCCAGACAGCTTTTCAATTCCCCTTGTTGGTGAACGTGTCGAATGGGGAGATCCGTATTTTGTACTAAAACCCCCCCGACCCCAAAAACACTCACAGTTACAGTCGATATATATATAGATATCCCATCGGCTTGGAGTTAAACCTAGTTACCGCACTACAACCGGTTCTACAACTGTATTGCGGTAACTAAGTAATCCCCGAACGTTATTTGCAGTTATTTATCGGTCCACTGGACCTACGAGAGTATTTTCATTTTCGCGACATCTGTATTCCTTTCTCGAGATGAGAATATAAATCCCCTTTAAATTTCTTTAGTTGATTTGGGATTGACCTTTTTCTCTTCATATCATTTTTAAAATAATATATTTATAATTTGTAAATTTTTATTTAATTTCTATAATTTATATATTTTGTTTGTATATTTTTGATTTTAATTATACTTTTTTTTTAGTTTTCTGATTTAATTATATATATTCAATTTGTTATTGTTCCATTTTAATTATATTTGTCCCATATATAGTGATTAATTATTATAATAAAATCTAAAAAATTATTTTCAAAATGTATAATCTTTTTTTATTTTGTCCATATATGTTCTATTTAAAATTGATATCTAATGTCGATAATGGAGTATAGAATATAATATGTAGAAGCTAAAGTTAATTCGATTAATGCTGATGGGAAATGTTTGTTTGACAATGTGTGACAATAGCCTCTTTTCTATAATACGTTTACAGGAACACGCAAGGGTGAGGCTTCTATGGTTACTATTCAAATATACACTTTATTATATATCTATACGCGGACACAAAAACAATCGCCATGTACTTAAGATACTATCGGGTGATTAAAATTTGTCTATACACTAAAATGTTAAATTTTGATCAAAGTATATATAGGCCGTCGAATTATTTTTTTTTTTTCCGTATTTATAATTGATTTCAATTAAGGGAATTTTAATGGAAAAATTAAAATGTAAAGAAAAAAAATTCTGAAATTTAGATAAATTTTCATTTGTTTAAATTAGGGTTTTATTTAATAGAATTTCTATTTTTTTTTCGATAAAAGAATGTTATTTATTACAAAGAACATAGGGTCAGCCGGGGTAAATCCGAACGCTTTTAGTAAGTTTCAACAAAAACATAAGTTTTTTCTTTTAAAAGACAATACTTCCGGTATTCTGGTGCATGAAGTTGTTACTTTACTTCCATAGAACAATTTTATGGGGTAGCAAAAATTTTTGATAAATTACAATCGCAGGAAACTTAGCGTTCGTATTTACCTCGATACTTTGCAACTTTCCTAAAATATGGGGGTAAATACGAACGCCACTGTATTTCAGAAAAATCTTAGGGAAAATAAATTTAAAGTATTGCATTTGTTAAACTTATATAAAAACTCAAAAAAAATACGATAATAAACCTATTATGTAATAATGCATCATATATAAATACAAAAATCAAACAGGTTAAAAATTAAAATGCATTACACAATTAAAACCTTCAATAACTTTATCAAATCATAACGGATTTTTGCAAAACTTGCTACAGAAAGTATTTTGGAGTGATTGAATGTAAATACAAAAATAAAAGTCAAATTTTTTAAATTCAAAATGGCGGACTTTCCTAAAACTTATTTTTAAAAATGATCAAATTTGCTAACCCTGAAACCCCCCGAGTAACAATTTTCGAGCGAATCCAATGAATTTTTTAATTCTCGTCCGCCATTTTGAATTTTGAAAAACTGACTTCAAATTGGTAATCAGCGACCCCAAAAACCCTAGAATACCAAATTTTATTAAGATCCTGAAAAACTTTTTTCAACAAACCATTTGGCAAAAAAATTGAAACACTCCTTCGAGAGAACAGAGATTAAGTTTCTGCTTATTAATTACTAACGAGGATACGTATAGAAAGAAAAACTTTTTTCTACGTACTTTTATAATGTTAAAATAATAGTGTAATGAAATAAAAACAATTTTTGATATAAGAAAATATTATTGAAAATACCGTTCGGATTTACCCCGGTTTTCCAATTTTCCTGGGTAAATACGAACGGTCTGATATTATTAATAAAATTTTACAGAAAGCAAAAATCAAAAATAGTTTCTGTTCTAGTATTCATAACAAACAATTATAAATAATAAAATAAATTTTTAGCTTCTTTTTCTTCAAATACGAGACAAAATACTGAAAAAGTGTATCATCTTTGATTTTCAATCTTTTTTGCAATACTCGTTATCTTTGTTTATGCTGTTGCTAATTAACAAACGAAAAATGGAATAATACTTAGAATCTCTTGAAGAGGATCTGAGGTAAAAATTCTCATGTCTAACTTATTTTTTAAAATTTTAATTAAGCTGAAATAATTAGCGTTCAGATTTACCCCGGCTGACCCTAATTGCAAAGTTTTATAAGGATCCTTTAATTTTATTAGAAGTTATAACAGGTTTTTTGATTTTTTTTTTTTGGGTCATTTCGTAATAATTACACTTCTTTTTCACTAAATTTGAATGTTTTTTCAATAAAAAAATGCAATTTATCACAAAGAACATAATTACAAAGTTTTATGAAGATCCGTTTATTTCTTTAGAAGTTATAACCGTTTTTTGGATTTTTTTTGGGGTCATTCCGTAATAAATATACGTTTTTTTTCCCTAAATTTGTATTTTTCCTTAATAAAAGAATGTCATTTATCGTAAAGAACATAAATACAAAGTTTTATAAGGATTCGTTTATTTCTTTAGAAGTTGTAATAACCGTTTTTTGGGTAATTCCGTAATAAATGTTTTTTCAAAATTAATTTTAAATAAAAATTTCAGCGATAACATATTTTTTTTTCTTTGCGTGTAAAATGTTTGCGTGTTTATACAAGATTTTTCGCTCGAGCGACAATCATAGGCACATTTACATCATAAGGGCGTGTTGCATACATATGAAGAACAACATAGTAATAGTTAATTTCCAATAAACTTTCCAAGTATATATATATTCACACCATACACACTTTTAGTTTCATTATTCGTCGAGTGTTTGTTAATCAATATATATATAAGGAAAAAAAGCAGAGAATGTAAAAACGGAAGTAACGGGGTTTTCATTGCCTTATATAATGGGTCACGTGTCCCCTAACAAGTATCGAAGCGTGTCACACAGGTTTGAAGAGCAAATCGTGAATGTCTGATCATCCAAATAATAATAGGTGCTTTTAAAGTATTAAACTTGTGTTTATATTACTATCATATTTATTATTAAAAAATTTTCAATTTTAAAATATTTTGTTTAGAAATAATAAATAAATAAAATTTATCGTATTCGAAAAATAAGGAAAAAAGAATAAATAAAAACATTTAAATTAATTAATGAAAATATTTTTTTAAATTATAATAAAATATTAATTATATAGAAAATGGATAAAAACTCACCGTATCTCGTGGGGGGCTCCAACATTGTGGTGATGCAGACGTACTATTTCCATTGTGATTGCTAATGACAGAATTGGATGATGAATTAATATTAGAAAAATTCACACTCAATGGTGCTGAGACATCGTCTTCAGTGGTTTCAATATCAACTTCATCATCGGAACTTTCATCTTTATTGGATGGAATTTTTGTGACAGAATCATGAATTGAATTCTCAACAATTGGCGGTACACGAATTACAGGTCGAAATGCTGATTGATGAATAGAGCCATTGACTGACGTTAAAAGTGGTTCCGATGGTGTTGTACCAATTGGTGGAGGCAAAGGTCCTATTATCGAGGGAGAGAGAGAGATAAATAATAATTTTAATTCTTTAATAATAAAAAAACTAATTAATATTTTTAAATATTTAAATTTTTTTGTAATTTTTCAGTAGTACAATTAAATATTTAGTCATACTTAAAGGATTGTAATTTTATCAGTAGTATAAGTCAATGTGTAGTCAGTCTTTTGTAATTTTATTTGTAATTAATCAATTGAAGTAAATATTTACATCGATTTTCTTGTTTTGTAATCTTGTCAGTAGATCAAGTCAATATTGTGTCAGATAATTGAAATTACACACTGAAAAAAATCTATATCTGAAACAGCGGATATATTTCTCTAGAATAACGAAAACTTTCATTATTTTAGTGAAAGATATCGCTGTTCCATGTTAAACATTTTTTTTCCGAGTATAAGTAGTACAAGTAAGAGTTTAGTCAGACTTAATTTTTTTTGTAATTTTATAAGTAGTAAAAGTAAATATTTAGTCATATTGTCTATATATTTGTAATTTTATCAGTAATACAAGTCAGTATTGCGTAAGACATTTGTAATATTTGAAATTTTATCAGTAATAAAAGTAAATATTTACTTCGATTTTTTTACAGTTTTGTAAGTAGTGTTTAGTCATACTTTTTTAATTTTTGGGTAATTTTATCAGAAGTACGAGTCAATATCTAGTCAAATATTTGTAATTTTGGCAGTAGTTAATAAGATTATTGTGTCAGATATTTAAAATTTTATTAGTAGTACAAGTAATTGTTTAGTCAGACTTTTTTTCTTTTATAAGTAGTACAAGTCAATATTCAGTCAGAACTTTGTAATTTTTTCAGTAGTACAAATAAAGATTTAGTTCGACATTTGTAATTTTTTGAGTAGTACAATTCAATATTGAGTTAGACCCTTGTAATTTTACAGTAGTACAAATAAATATTTAGTCAGACCCTTGTAATTTTTTTTGAGTAGTAAAATTAAATATTGAGTCAGGCTTTTGTAAGTTTTCAGTAGTACAAGTCAATATTGAGTCAGACCCTTGTAATTTTTCAGTAATACAAATAAATATTAAGTCAGACATTTGTAATTTTTTAGTAGTACAAGTCAATATGTAGTCGAAATTTTGTTTTTTCAGTAGTACAAGTCAATATTCAGTCCGGCTTTCAAGTTTTGTAATTTTTCAGTAGTAGAAGGCAATATTGAGTCAGACCTTTGTAATTTTTCAGTAGTACAAATAAATAATGAGTCAGACTTTTGTAATCTTTTAGTAGTACAAGTCAATATTCAGCCCGGCTTTCAAGTATTGTAATTTTTCAGTAGTACAAGTAAATATTATATATTGAGTCAGACCTTTGTAATTTTTCAGTAGTACAAATAAATATTGAATCAGACTTTTGTAATTTTTTAGTAGTACAAATAAATATTTAGTCGGAAAATTGTAATTTTTTCAGTAGTACAAATAAATATTGAGTCAGACTTTTGTAACTTTTCAGTAGTACAAGTCAATATGCAGTCAGAATTTTTTTAGTAGTACAAGTCAATATTCATTCTGACTGTCAACAGTTCTCTAATTTTGTCAGTAGTACAAGTCAATATTAAATCAGAAATTTCTAATTTTTTGCAATTTTACCAGTAAAACAAGTCAATATTGAGTCAGACATTTCAAATTTTACAATTTAAACACAAATTATTGAAAAAAAATACATACCAGGAAATAAACATCTCTTCGTCAGCCAAGGCAGTGCATAAGGTGGAAATGCAAAACCAGGTGTTTTAGCAGCGGCAACAGCGGCAGCCTGTTGATGTTGATGCCAAACGCAATCCATAATAAAACTCCTCGACAATGGTAGTGGAAGTTCAGGAAATGGCGGAACTCGTGGATGTGCTGAAGCCGGTGAAATTGGAGCACAATTATTTGAAATATCCGTTGTTGCTGCTGTTGTTGTTGTTGTTGTTATTGTTGGCGAGTGTCTTGAACGTTTTGTTGGACTTGGTGAAATACGACTACTTGGATTTGAGAGTAATCGTTTTCTTGTACCACCATTGAACATTGCCTTAACATCCTCCCATGCGTGGACAACTTCATCAGGTGGATTACCCGATAATTTCATGTGTCTTCTCCATGAATTAAAATTTGCCGCATCTGGTTGAACATATTTATCGGCTGGACTTATTCGATGTGAATGAAATATGAATTTATTTGGTGAAAAAAAGAGGCCACAATAGGCGCATTTAATGCATTTTGCACGTGAACTATTGTAACGAGCTGGTAAAAATGCACCACGACAACCCCATGCGCATTCATGATGAACGGAAAATGCAAAATCTTCCGGTAGTCTAAAAATTAAAATTTTGTATTTTATACAAGGATTTATTATTCCTAATCGCGTCGCGAAATAAGGGACCTTAGAAGCAAACGAATTATAGGTTATGTTTACTGCTATTTTACCTTTAAAAACTTTGGAATTTCAAAAGATAACCTACAAATTATTTCTTCTAATGTCCATTTCTTCGCGACGCGTTAAAAAAAAATTTACCTGGAACAGAGATACGTTTCGCTAAAACAGGGAAAGTTTTCCTTATTCTAGAGAAACATATCGCTGTTCTAGATAAAGATTTTTTTCCTTAGTTTTAAAAATTGACAAAATTCTTTTAAGGGAAAAGAGAAATTAAAAAAAAACCTTGGTGGTGCATTGTCGCCTAAAAATGATTTGCAAAGTCTTTCAGCTTCACGACGTGTTATCATTCCACATCTTCGTGATGAAACTGGCATTGCACCGGCACGACGAAGAATTTCCAATTGTACTGGTGTACATTGAACACAAGTAATACCCAAGGCAACACGTCGATTGTGTATTTCATTGTAACTAAATTGTTTCAATAATGTATTGCTGATTTGTGCCAAACACAATCTCTCCTGACCCTCAATCACCAGTGAAACAATATGAATTCCATATAATGACACTGTACCCACCTGTAAATCCTATTAATTTAGTATATCATCATGTGATCTTATATCAGAAAAATTTACGTCAAAGAATTTAAAAATAATAATAAAAAAAAAAAATTAGTTAATATATAGAACTAACAAAACTTTTTTGTTGCAACAAAATTTTGTTTTGTCTAACAATTCCAAAAATTGTTGCGATAACGGTAAAACTGCAAAAAAAAATTATTTTGACAACAAATAAGATTTTTATTAGTTTTGTATTCACAATTTGGTTATTAGATTTAAGACGCAAAAAATCTTTATCTAAAACAGCGATATGTTTCACTAAAACAGCGAAAGTTTTCGCTATTCTAGAGAAATATATTATTGCTATTTCAGAGAAACATATCGCTGTTCCAGGCGAAGATTTTTTTGCGTGAAACATTCCTTTTCCTACACGAAAAAAATTTTTCACCTAGAACAGCGATAAGTTTCACTGGAACAGTAATATGTTTCACTAAAACAGAGAAAGTTTTTGTTATTCTAGAGAAACATATCGTTGTTTCAGATAAAGATTTTTTTTCCATGTAATAATTGCACCGAAAAAAGAATTTAGAATATATACTTGGCAATTTAGAATATTTTATAGTAAATTTCAGTATGTATAATATTCATAAAATTAAAATATATTCTTGCGGTACTTAGTATATATATTCTAAATACTATATTTATACTAAATACTAAAAACATATTCTAATTTTAAGAATATTCCATACTGAATTTAAGTATAAAATATTCTAAAATACCAAGAATATTATAAATTTCAGAATATTTTTTTCAGTGGGGTTATTATTCTAATAAACCATTTTTTATTAATTATACTATACGCAATTTCTGATCTTTTGATAAATTATCGATTACGAATCAGGAAATAAAAAAATGATTACCTTGATTAATTAAATTTACCTGATTTGGTTTTGAATTTGTTTGCGCTTGGGGTGGTGGAGATGATTTTTGATTTGCCAATGGAAGAGATAAAACAGTTTGTCCTTCCATCCTTGAGAAAAAAAAGAAATAGTACATAATTATGGAATTTAAGAATTTTCAAATATGAAATAATTATTTACAGAGAAGAAATTATTATTTACTCTTTCTTTTTTTGTTTTAAATTATTATTTACTTTTTTTTATTATTTTAAATTATTATTTACTCTACTCTCTCTCTCTCTCTCTCTCTTTTTTTTTTATTTTCCAATTAATGCAATGAGTGTGTTTTGGCCGTCAATTGAAAATGTGATTAAGTCGTTTAGCGACAGCATTGGCACACGATGAAACGGAAATTCGTTTTAACAGTTCCTTAATTATGTCCGGATTGGGCGGTGATTAAGTAAATTCCTCGAGACTCCCGATAAAGAGAGATTAAACTCTTGAGTCAAAGCACTATACACTATATATACGAGAGAGTATTTTGCGCTCATCTACTGCTTGCAATTAAACAGTTTTTTCTTTCTCGCGATACTCACGAGAAATTTATTCCTCAAACCCGCCCTCTATCGTCGTCAGTATATATATAGTTTCATATTATTTTGTCGCGGTAAATAATTATTTCATCATGTAAATTAAATTAATCTTGATATTATATTATTGCATCACGTTGAATTCCCTATATCAAAAATTGACTACTGGTTATAAAAAGAATTTTCGTTTTCAGTGAACTGATATATTTATTTAGGAGTTATACAAGAAACTATTTTTTTTAGATTTATGAGTTATGAAATAAATGTGAAATTTACCTGCGTGTTTGTGTTATACAAAAATATGAATTTTCCAAAAAGTTAGAGTTGTGACATTAATTTTTATGCGAATTTACGTGTGTTTTTATGAGTTATGAATTTATGAGCTACTGATTATATTTTTTGTTTCATAGGAAAATATATAAAACTATTTTTAAAAATTTTAGAGTTATGAAATTAATTTTTATGATTTTTATAAGTTTATGAGTTAACCCCTTGAGTGTTATGTTAAAAGACAACCCTTACAGCACCAGATATCCTAGGATATTCCAAAAACATCCCTTGGATATCCTAAGGATACTTTAAGGATATCCAAAGTAGTGGCGGTTAGGATATCCTAGGGATATCCCAGGGATATCTAAGGATGTCCCTAGGACGTCCCAGGGATATCCTAATCATTTCCCAAGATATTATTAGGATATCCTGTAAATATCCCTGGAATAATTAGGGATGTCCTTAGGACGTCCTAAGGATATTCACAGTATGTCTATATTACCTTAAGGGTTAGAATATCCTTGAGTCGTTCTAAAATTTGAATCATAATGATATCCTAGGGAGATCTTAGCGATATTTCTAGAATATTTTAACGATATACTAAGTTTATCCCAAGAATATCCCCACGATATCACTAGGATATCCCTGGAATATCCCAGGGATATCTCTAGAATATCCTCAGGATATCTAAAATATCCTCAGGATATCCCAAAAATATCCTATGTAACGGCGGTTTGGATGTTCTGAGGATATCCTCAGGATATCCTATGGACGTTTTCAGGATATCCTACATTAGTTTAGGATATCCCGAGGATAGAGGGAAGAAACCGCTACAACAAAATTGATCGTTTATAAAATAGGCCATATTCGATTGAAACTTGATACTCGGAAGTTTTTGAGGTCGCTGATCATGAATCTGGTGTTAGTTTTGCAAAATCCAAAATGGCGGATCCAATATGGCGGACGAATTTTTTAAAAATTGATCGGATTCGCTTGAAATTTGTTACTCGAGGGCTTTCGGGGTCGCTGATTACGAATCCGATGTCAGTTTTTCAAAATTCAAAATGGCGGACTATTTTTTGAAAAAATTGATCGGATTCGCTTGAAACTTGTTACTCGGGGGTTTCTTGTGGTCGCTGATTATAAATTTAATATTAATTCTGTAATTAGTGACTACTAAAATCCCTAAGTAACAATTTTTAAGTAAATCTATAAATAATTAGATTGAATTTATAAATTACATTGCCCCTATAAATTTATTACTGTTAAAGAGAAATTGAAATTAAAATTAAAAATAAAAATAACGAAACTACATTTAATTTTCTCACGCCACTCTTAAATAGATATAGAAAACGAATTGAATTTCGTCGAGAAGACCTCAAACCATAATTGTCTTGGTGCCCGATTTGTAAGCAGCGAGTAATTAATGCGGTTTGAATCGAGTCGAGCTGTCCGACAACCGATGCGATGGCCAGCCAAGAGTGAGAGAGAGAGAGAGAGCACTAGAGAATTGTTCCAAGCTGGGCATTGCATTGTTTCACGGTAGATGAGAATTTAATTTGCAACAGAGAGTGAGGAATATATATATATATATAGTGGATGAGGGGTAGTCAAAGGTGGTAGCAGGGAAGGTTGAATAGAGTGGGGATGAACAGGATCTGATGGGTGCCGGTTTGTTTAAGTGTGGGAGGGGGTGTCAAATTGAATTACCCCCCTTATTCATGGCCTCAAGGGACATTTGCTGGTGCGCCTTTGCCTCTGTCAGTGTATATATATATACTTCCTACTTTTCCAGGTATATACAGTAGTAGTAGTAGTGTATTCAGAATTTGTCTGTGTTGAATTTAAGTGTGTCTCTCGGGGTACGCACGCGTATACCCAGAATCATCTTCATGGAGGGGTTTTTCAATTAAAATCAACACTGGAAACAGGTTCAACCCCTCGTGTATATCTTTATATTTTTTTTTTATTTCTCTTGCGCTTATTGTCATGCTTCTTACTTTTTTCTTTACTTTTTATATCTTTTAATTTTTCCCTTAAAATTTTTCGATTTTAGTTTTTAAAGGTTAGTAATAATATTTTCTTCGACTTATATAGAAATTATTTGATTTTATATTCTTTACACCAAAAAAAAACATGTTTTTGTTATTTTTACAACAAAAATTTAGAATATACACTTTGGACCTATTTTATGCTCAAATTTAGTATTTAATATTCTTAAAATTAGATATTCGCCACTGAAAAATTATATTCTAAATTTAAGAGTACTTTCTTGGTGCCTATTTAAGAATATACCCCATACATTTGATTCTTATATACACACTAAAAAAGAAATCTTGATTTCAGCCTATTTTTGAGGCTGAATTTAAGGTGTAAACGGAGTCAGACCAATTAAAAAAGGACAGACTTATGCAAAATATATGGGCTTAATTTAAGGTGTAAACGGTTTAAGACTTTGTTTTTACTGTGTACAGTTAGAATATAATATATTCTTAAAATGAAAAATACTTCTTAAATTAAGAATATATTATATTCTAACTGTAAGAATAAAATGCATGGAAAATATTCTTAAATAGTCGCCAAGAAAATATTCTCTTTAGAATATTTACTTTTTCAGTAACGAATATATTCTAATTTTAAGAATATTAAATACTGAATTTAAGTATAAAATATTCTTAATTTCTAAAATATATTGTCAACATTCCTCTTCTTTTACACTGCAAAAACTATAGCCTTCTTAAAAGTGCAAAAAACGTCTTGTTTTAAGACACATTTGATGTCTTAGACGCGAAAAAACGTCTTAAAACAAGACGTTTTTTGCACTTTTAAGACGGACAGTTTTTACAGTGTATCTCTTTCATTCGATATGCAATTTACATAGCCTTTTTTGTATCCTTTTTTCTTAATAAATGCCTTTTTAACCGCATATATATATATCTCACTAATCTATTTCTTAGAAAATTTTCAAAAAGTCTTTGCCTCACTTTAATGCAATGGAAAAATGTTGCAATTGGAGTAGAGTTTATTTCTGAATTTGAAACGTGATGTGAGTTTCTTAAATCGTATACAAATTGCTGTAGAATATACTCTGTATATAATGTGTCTCTCTCTTACTCTCTCACTCTCTCTCTATATATATATATGTTCTGAAGCTCGTCACTCTATAAGAGGATAAGGAACCCGATTCGAGTCGAAAGAAACCCAGGTTACTTATTTTCGCGTCTTCCTTTTAACCACGGCCAACAGAAGGAGGAGATTCTAAAGCCCTATACATATATAGAAAAAGAAAAGAATGTCTTCTTTTTCTTCTTCTTCTTTTACCTCTAAAGAATTCCCTTACCCTATATATATACCTTGTAAATTAAAATAACGAAGGCGTTCCTCCGATTTAATTCCCGCAAAGAAAACTTATTTATGAAAGCCACGAAAAAGAAATTTATTTCCCTGATGTTTGCTTTTGTGCAAATATATATATATATATATATATATATATGGGACGTTTCACGTTAAGCGGGCCACCCCGATGGCCAAAATTGAGAGCTTCCAAAAAAATCGCTTATACCCAAAAATTATTCATATATATAAGTACTTTCAAAAAATATGTGGCCTTTTGAAAAATCCAATATGGCGGCCCTAATATAACCTACAAATGTGTCTAAAATTAAAAAAAGAGGCCTAAAAGTGCTAATAAAAAGGGATTAAATGAGGAAATCACCTATGTATTGGCGGTAAAATTAGCACTAGGATACATACTTTGTATTCCGCAAGCAATACCGGTAATTTGATATTAATTTTCAGAAAATAAATATGGCGGATCCAATATGGTGGAAAAAAAATTTTAAAATGCATCGGATTTGCTTGAAAGTTGTTACTCGGGGGTTTCTGAGGTCGCTGCTGCCGAATCTGATGTTAATTTTCAGAAATTCAAAATGGCGGATCCAATATGGCGGACAAAATTTTTTTAATTCATCAGATTTCGTTGAAAGTTGTTACTCGGGGGTTTTTGGGGTCGCTGATACCGAATCTTTTGTTAATTTTCAGAAATTCAAAATGGCGGATCCAATATGGCGGACAAAAATTTTTTTAATTCATCAGATTTCGTTGAAAGTTGTTACTCGGGGGTTTTTGGGGTCGCTGATACCGAATCTTTTGTTAATTTTCAGAAATTCAAAATGGCGGATCCAATATGGCGGACAAAAATTTTTTTAATTCATCAGATTTCGTTGAAAGTTGTTACTCGGGGGTTTTTGGGGTCGCTGATACCGAATCTA